GTATTTCTTCGTCGGCATTTGTTTAGAGCGGACTGTACAAGTTGTTGTTAATATTGTAAGAGACAGTTAGAAGCAGCAGCATGAGATCAGTGTGGTAAAAGATAGCTTGCCCCGTATCTAGGTATCAAATCTTCGGTATCTCTGCTTGTATAACATCGGTAGGTGTGCCATTTTAGAATTTTGGATTCTTTTCTTTCATATTTCACACCTATAATGTGTTTTCGTCGATTCCTGTGCCATCTTTGCAGTGGCAGTGGGTGCTGAAACTGACGCTGTCTTCTCATCTATTAATTATGGAAACATTGTTACATAGTTTTCCACTACCTTCCTGATTGAATCATTTTGATCTCGAAATTTGGTGTAAGGATGCCCATGATCATCGAATTCGTCCGACATCTTGCTTTTTTCTGTTTTGCTTGTACAGCTTTGTGAAGATCATTCTTTAGACTACTCCCGCTCCTAATCCGTTAAAGGAAGGGATGGAGAACGGAGTAGACGAGAAGGGACAGACACAGGGGAAGGAGAATGTCGAGAAAGGCCCTTTAACAAGGGAAGCCACAGATATGGAAATAGAGAAGGGTGTCAATAAAGACACATTTGACCTCAAAGCCGATCTTGGAGTTCACGATCTCGAAGGAGACAACCGAGACATGGACGTCGATAACAGAGATACAGATGTAGAGAATGTTGAGGTAATAATTTCACAGAATTTCCCAAATGGGTCATACTTGTATACCTACCATTTTGCAGGTTGACATGGTTGAGGATTCAGCCAGTGAAGAAGACGATGCGTGCACTCCTCCTGACGCTGCCATGGACGTGAATGTCTCATGCGATGACGAGTGTGCAGAGCCTATCAAAAAATGTAAGCCTGGATACATAAGATTCGAGTTCTCATCATTTGAATAGTCTTTTTAGTCGAAGATATGCCTCGGTGTGAAAGCGACTATATGACCGAAGAGGAGGACGATCCAGATGACCTCTATAAACCGGAGGGTACGATATACCTCGATATTGATGGGTTCAGTCAGTTTTGTAAGGGATCTCCTGAGACTCAACAACGTCTTTCGAAACCTGTGTTTGTTCGCGGTCTACCATGGAAAATCTTAGCCATTCCAAGGTATTCGTTTTAGCGGAGCTTTCGTTCTCTTTTATTCTTCATTTGGGATGATTGGGGCGTTTGTTAAGGGACGCGGCTCGAGTAGGAACCGGCACGAGACCCAATAAAGCTCTCGGCTTTTTCCTTCAATGTAATGGAGACTCTGATGCAGTGGCTTGGAATTGTATAGCATCAGCTTCTTTGAAGGTATGTTAACGTATATCTCTCTAACGAGCAAACGGTGCTCATTACATATGCGATTGATGCTGAAGTAGTCGGAAATAGGGTGTCGAACACGGTGTAAAGAGGTTGCGTTGCAAATGCAACAATTTCATGCTGAATAGGTGCGTCTACGTGGACAACCATTCTATTTAGGTTCTGGGTCAAATCGAAGGATTTGAAGATCACTCACGACGCATTACTCACACCTTTTATCCAAAGGAAAACGACTGGGGATACTCACAATTTTTAACATGTGATGTGAGCATAATTTTATCATACGCTGTTCTTGTACAAGTTCCTTGGTATTTCAGCATTTGATTAATCCCGAAAATGGTTTTATAAAGGACGATACTATTCGCTTGGTAGTACATGTATCCGCGGACGCCCCGCACGGTGTACAGTAAGTTTCTGTCAAACTTTGATCGTAACAATCTGTTCTTACATGCGTAACTAATTCGGTCTTTTCAGGTGGGATAGTAAGAAACATGCCGGTTATATCGGACTAAAAAATCAGGGAGCTACTTGCTATATGAATTCTATACTGCAGACATTATATTTTACTACAAAGCTGCGTAAGGTACGTCTATCGTATGCATGATTTTTAAATGCTTACTAGCGCCAAGTAGCGGGATCGTATTTGTTGCCAATATTGTGCTCAATTTGTCAAAAACCTACATCGTTTTAATCGTCTGCAATCATTATTTCGGCCTATTTACTGATCTTTAATGTAAAATGCCCCAAAGTGTTAAGTAAGTGTTAATTTGGGAAGCAGTTTTGCTTCTGCTCACTTTCCACTCTTGTTGCCTGCAATGTGCTTATTGGTAACTTATGTTGCAGGCAGTGTACGACATGCCGGTCTCGCAAGACGATTCGGAGAATAATGTTGCCTTGGCGATGCAACGGGTATTTTACGATTTGCAGGTGATTGCTTTTTCCGTCTTGTATGTGTCATGTACTTATAATTTTTGGGTCTAATCTTGCAGTGCATGCCTCCGTAAGCGCCTTTCCCGCTTTCATCTTCATTTTCTTTTGAATTTATTTTTATGCGGTATTTCAATAATTATGCTCGTTGTGGGCCATTTGGCATGAAATGAGCAAAGCGAACACAGTTTAGCGTTGCAGCATTGACATATCCGCCTGGGCGGAAGACAGTTTGAATTAGAGCTTTATAACTTTTGCTTCATACAT